TGATTTAGTCTTCGACAGTCGATCGGATCAACTGAACGGTGACATTTATTTTCAAGTCAGTTCAAAACCATGAACACTTAATCTCTGGGTTAATAAACGGAAACATTAAAGGTAGCAAAAACAGCATTGCTAGGAAGCAGATGTCACAAGTAAATTCTGAAAATTATGGAGATGCAAGCAGGCACATTAAATAAAAACACAGACACCTAAATATACGAATCTAACAATAAACTAGAAATTCAGATCTCGTCTGTACATTTAATCTACTACTGCCTGATCATGACAGCTAAATTCGTCGAACTTAGACAATCATAATAGTCGATGCAATACAATCATAAGTCGAAATCATACAATCATAGTCGTAATAAACGTAGATAGACAGAAAGCAATAAACTTAAATAGTTGTCATAAACAAAGATTTTCTATTAGTTTCAGATTAAAGTAAGACACAATACCAGCGATACAGCACTCTAAAATTGATTTCTAGGTACGTAGAAATGTTGGCAAGAGGGACTCGTTTTACTCCGATAGTATGAGGTGGCTATCGCAGTCGAAAGTAAATGAAAAATTTTTTCCAAGCAGAAAGATAACTAATCTCACGTCAAACAATCACAATGAGCATAATGCAAGTCAGCAAATAAACATCCCATGAAAAAATTAATAGCAAGTTTGAATTCGTCTTTTGTTCCGTCAGTTCTCAACCGAGCAGAAGCATTCTGTTCATCATGAAAATAGCTATAGACGAATGTACTTTTAGTTCTTTACTACATACTGCATTTGTGCTGTTTGTGTTTTTAAGATAATTTTTATCGTTTTGCGTCATTGCCTGAGGCGTCTTCTTGTGAAGTGCATGGTAAGTTTTCCATTATTTACAGAAATTTCGCTGTTGACCACCGACATGGCAGAGCATTGTTGCTTTGTAGGACAGCAGACAGCCTCCATTCAAAACATTCACTAGCGCACTTCGTCGACGGCTGCTGCAGGACAGCCCTTGAACGGAGCCATCACTATGTTTGAAAGCAAGTGGACAACTGTGTAATGTAAGTAGAATTTTCTGGTGTGATTGACAAAAATTTTAAAACGGAAAGTATGTCCGAAATAATCTATCAAAGAAAGTATGATTGCCGCGAAAGAACAACGACAATGCAAATTGGAGCACAGTAATTACTTTAACGTTGCAATGCGCGCAGCTTTACAAGTAATCAGCTACTTTCAGACGGTAAACTTTACTGCAGATAGAATGTTACGTGCTTATTATTAAGCGTAACATAACTAAATTGACGCATTTACTGCTCTCAACATTTTCGGTTGAGTGTACGACCACCATATTGTCTGGGATTTCAATTTGTTACACTGTCAGCACAGATTACATCAATGCCATGAAATAATGCGACTCCTGCCATTAAAATACACCTGAATTAGCGAACTTTCTCCATACGAACATGAGATCAAACGGCGGAAAATCCATTATATTCCTATTTCACTTCAGGATTTGCTTTAACCATGAACGTTAACTATGACAATTCCTAGGTCATTCCGTTTATTTACGGAGCAAACACCTTTTATTATGCCACATAATCAATTTATGGTCTTTCCAAATTAGATTTGTATTCAGAAATTTTCGATACACAACTGAAAACATGGTAATAAATGACTGTGACAACATTCAATTTTTATTCAAAACAAGCAATCCAGCGGCAATTGCTACATGTTCATATACGTTGATTTTCAAGTTCGCCAAATTACATCTATTTATGCCTTTTTTGTCTCTAAAACTAAAAGTATCAGCTA